TGCCTTCCCAAAGCCTGATAAAGACATTACACGATTTAGGAAGTGGCTTAGTGTTACAAATAATCCTAATTTAGATATGATGAATGCTAGTACAGTTTTTAAAACAAAATGAGTCTGCAGTACACTTTGAAGATAAGTTTGTTTCTTGATGGAGTCATAAATTGTATAAAAATGCAAATCCTAGCTTACATTTGTATGGTGAGTCCATTTGTATGGTGATCATATTATTCAGTAGAAGAGTTTCTTAACGAATAGTGCTATGTACAAGTAACTAAACTATTTGTATAAATATATATTTCAGTATCACATGCTGAAACTTAAATGTATTAGTTCGTAAGGATTTATTAAGCAATTTATTTAAATTTTAGAATACATTGTGTATTTTATTATCTTTTATTTTGTGATATTGACGATTTATGTAATTTCAGTAAATTTTAAATTGCTATTTTTCTGACTTTTTGTAAGCTTTGTCCATAAAATTGTACAATTTTCAGTGGTAATAGCATATTTTTATTCTATTCTAAATTACAAAGTTGTTTTACAAGTGTTAAATAAATAAATAAATTACATTTTGTTTTATTTTTTCCTACATGGTATTGTGTATATTTGAATTTAAAAATGTCAAATGCATTTTTTTTTTCAAATATATTAAATTATATTTAAATATTTTAAGCTTTATTTAAATTTTCCCACCAAAATTAAAATTTGAAATTCCCGCGTAATTTCCCGGTTGAATTAGTTCCGATACGAATCTTATGGAGCGCTGAATTTCATATCCAACTAAAGCATTGTCGTGGAACATCTAGGAGGTAGGTGATCTGTGGTACAAATCGACAAATCGAGGTGACACATGAAACCTTGTCACTCAACCAATAAAGGTGGATTTTCACAGATCCGATATCCGATGGTACGATGATACGATATAAATTTCAGAGAATTGCATTGGTTGAAAAATGACAAGTAAAATTTTCGTACGAAATTAAAAGTCATCGGAAGAAGTTTAAAATATTTTAACTTTTGCACGAAAATCGAATAAATTTTGACATGTTGACATTTCTAACTTGAACCTTAACTTTTTTTTTTGTGGAGTGTTAATGTTTACTATTTGAAATATATTTAAAATGGAACAAAAACCTAATTATTATATAAATGCAATGAATAAAGTGTTGTTTTTGGGTCTTCTACACTATGTGAGGGAAAAATTACGAGAACGTAGCTCAATATAATATATATTATATATCAAACAAAACAGCTAACATTTATTGACAGTTCATTGAAATAAATATCAATCCATCCAGTAATCTGACACATAACACATATAAATATGTCAAAAAATTTCGGATACGACAATCAAATATATTCGTACAAAAAAATTTCGTATTTCGTGGCATCGGATATCGGATCTGTGAAAATCCAGCATAATTAAGATTTGTAGTTGTGTTATTAAAACGTTTGTATACTAAAATACTTTTACCTAAAAAATTGTTTAATTGTATGTGATAATTACTTTTATTAACAATTTTTTACAGGTATTATTATTTTACAATAAGTTCTGTTTAGTGAGCCTATTAGTGTTATCACTCCCTAGATATACCACAGAAGTTAACAAGACCAATATTATTTCTTTAAACTTTATAGAAAATGAAACTTTTTCTTAAATAAAATTAAATAAAAATAAAAACTTTTTTATCCAATTTAAAATTAGATATCTACGCTACTGCTCAACGAAGCAGAGGCCAGTCTAAGGGCGAGCGCCCACCAAAGTGGCGTGGCAGTGGCAAGTAGCAAGTAGCACGCGTCTAGCATAATGTAACCAATCCTAACGAATGATTAGAATGAATGACGTTACTGACATTTTGGTGTAAACTGAATCATTCGTTTTCATTGGTTACATTATGCTAGACGCGTGCTACTTGCTACTTGCCACTGCCACGCCACTTTGGTGGGCGCTCGCCCTTACATTGTTGCCATTTTCTAGGATTTGGCTCGCTCTGGTCCTATAAATTTTCTCACGAAATTACGTGTCAACTATACGAGACATTTTATCAAAAACATATTTTAGAAATTTTTGTTTATGACCTGCTGACCTGCAATATTTAATAACTCCGGCTATAACCATAGACTTGTAATACCCAATTTCTTTCCTATCTAGCCATTTACTTATTCTCCTTTTCGCCAACTTGTTGTTGGAAGCTTTTCTATTGACGACTTTGATAGGAAGCATTATCTAAAATGATTATTGCGCCAGGTTCAATTTTTGTCAATATGAACAAAAACCAAGTTTCAAATTTCTCAGTATTCATGTCCTCGTGATAATCTCCAGATTTTTTGGATTCAAAAACTGAGAGTCCTCCAGGAAAAAAACATGTTCACTACCAATATGTGTTATTATTAGATGTCGATCCTTACTTGATTGTGCTTTTAGACCCGTAGAGAGACCTTCAAGGAACGCTTGTCGAGAATTTTTAATAATTAAATCGTGCCAAACTTGGTTTGTCACGATTAAATTGTGGCAAATTAGTTGTGAAACACACTTGGAATGTACTCAAGAAATGGCTCAAATTACAAAACTTACTCTTACTCAAAACCAGAATTATCCGAATCATCGCTCTCGTCATCAAGTTGGACTATAATCGGTTCCATAATTACATCTACCTGTATATCTACATCCCACATCTTATTTTCTATTTTCTTCACGTGACCGATGCACTTTCGCCAGTTGTCTGCGGTAACGTTACGTATAGCTTCATCGAATAGTACTTTAACATCACATAATTTAAATGTAGTATTTCGACGTGCTACCTCTGTTTTCACTTGTGCCCAAATCGATTCAATTGGATTCAGCTCGCAATGACATGCTGATAATCGATGAACAAGAACTCCGTGACTAAGAGCCATTTCGTCAACAACATATTTATGATATTTATGTTTTATGTTGTGCAATATTTAACAACTCAGGTTTAATCATTGATCTGTCATAAGCGATTAGTTTCGTATCCAGCCAATCAATGATTTGTCCTTTGCGCCAGCTTGTTGTTGGGAGCTTTTCTACCTGTCGACTATGGTAGGGAGCATTATCTAAAATTATTACCGAACCCGGTTCTATTGTCGGTAATATGGACGAAAACCAAGTTTCAAATCTCTGAGCGTCCATGTCCTCATGACAGTCACCAGATTTTTTTGACTCGAAACATAAAAGTCCACCAGGAAGAAAACCAGACTCACTACCAATGTGTGTGATAATTAGACGTCGACCTTTACCTGATGGTGCCTTAGGCCTGTGGATAATCCATCAACAAATGCTTGCCTACTGCTTGTAACATTTAAATCGTGCCAAACCTTGTTTACAGTATGGCCTTCATTTAGCTATGTCTCGTCTAAATAATAAATTTTTTTCTTCTCGGTGCGATATTAACGAATTTTTTTTATATAATTGCGTCTCCATATAACGATTTCACTTTTTTCTATGAGACTGCTTTGTCTACATCGTTTCATATATTTGAAATTCATTAAATGAAGTGTGCGCAGTAATACTTCTCGTGACATTTTTGGCAAACTATCGTCGCTGTCGATTTCTGCAGACATTATCTTCAAGGTAGGAATTTCATTCCGAAAGAAAAACAAATTGTTAAAAATAAATTGTTAATAACCACTCAAACAACAAACACTTATCCTCGTTTTGAGGCATCTCATCGACAGGTCTAACACGTGGTTCATTACCTTTATGACACTTTTTACTGTTTACAAATCCCGAAGTTTGAAAATGTTTAATGGTATTTTTAACTGTTGTAACACTTGGTGGGGGTCTATTTTCGAACGCAACAATAAATAAATCAATTACTTCGCGTATCGAATGACCCTGAAAGTACCATGTTACAAGTCTAAAGGCGCCCACTTACTCAGAAGGAAGCGCGAAGGATTGAATGTGCATGGCACGGGGTACAGTTAAAAGTATGTGTGTATGGCGAAAAATGTGGAATGCGCAACCAAGCCTCTCAAAATCAGAATCGTCTTGATTTTTAGCGTGTGCAATTATCATCTCGCGGGAAGAATGAGAGTGTATATGGGCAACATTAGACGGTATACAACGTAATAGGCATTTTATTAATTATTTGTTTATTCTTTTAGAACTTGTTTGACATTTTTAATGTCATTGTGAGAATTACAATTCGTATCCACTGTGAAATGAATATAGAGGTAGAAACGTGTAACATGTCACAGCGATTGCCATTGTGTTGTATGGTCAATAAAACAATGTCAATAAAACAAACAATTTATTGAAAGTTTTGAAAATTTCCTACTGCACTCTGGATATTTTGACTCTGCAGTATTTTTTTATATAATTGAATGTATTTTATAATTATTAAAAGAATCTGACAACCTAGGTACTATATGCATATTTTTCATTTTGGAATCTGATACTACTATTATTAAATCAATAGCACCAATATCTCTTGAAAAAGGTTAATTAATCAAATTTTAATTATCAATATTATGAAAATATTGAATTAAGTAAATGAAAGTATGTATACACCGACATCATACTGATCATACTCTCCGAATTTATTTTATCGGTCAGTTTATCTGTTCAGATTTTTTTCCTAGGTGACGCTAGAATTTTAAATTTAGCTCACATAAAACATTATTTTGTATTAAATTCTACCTTAAAAATGTTATTAAAATTAATTATTAATTATATTAATATGTAATTAATACAGTATTATTAATTAAATGTATCGTTTCAAGAACAAAATATGATTGAAATGTCAAATGGTGGTAGTTCAGATTTCTTTCCCAGATGGCGTCGTTAGTTTACTGGACAAACGGTGTGACTTGTTATCATAGCCTTTTATATAGATAGATTAATTGATTCTTTACTGCCACCTATTGATTATTAATTCGCGGCCATTGATTTTTGACTTTTAACTACAGAGTTTTTCGTTGATTGTTGTATATTTAAGTGATTTTTAAGTGTTCAATATTTCAAAATACATTTTTAGTTATGAAGAGGAACCGGTAATAGTACTAAAACACAAGAAATCGAAGAAAAAAAGTAAGCTGTGTAGTGATTTAAAAACTTCCAAAATTAAACCCAAACTAAAAGCAGAAGCCACTTTTAAACCGGTTGAAGATCGTGAATCTGGACAGGAGGACGATGGAGTGGAGGACTCTATTGTGGACGATACGGTCATCGTCAACAATAAGGTAAGTATGTTTTCGTAAGTAGCGAAGAACATGTTTTCAAAAAAAAAATATCTTACAGTAAAAGATCCCACTGCAGGATCACTACGTTCATAACGTAGTTAATAAAGCTCACATTTTTACGTACATTTAAATTTAGGAGAAAAAGTGACCGCAAATATTTTTAATTTAATTTGTGAACAAAAATTTCTATTTCATTCATTATTTATTAAATAAAATACGCTGCTCGTGACGTATATGCATGTTTTTTCTATCAAAATAAAGCGTCAAAGTGAGGTTTTAATGCAATATTGTTGTATATTAAAAGACCAATACGAGCATCTTTCAATCTGGCTAAAAACATTTTGCCCTCCCTGAGTTTTTGTACTGCAATGTTGGTATCCGTGCAAAAACGTTGTATGTATGTCACTGTCAAACTACTATCACCGTAAAAATAGAGGTTAACGTGTCGCTGTCTACTCTTTTGCACATAAATAGAGAGAAAAAACGCAAAATTAATATTAACCAGTAGAAGAGAAATATCCATAAGCGTCAGAGAAATGCAGGTGAAGCATATGGGTCTGCTAGAAGCGAAATTGTACCAGTAACACCCCGTCCACATGAGGTGAGTGCAATAATGTTGTATATTTTGTTACTAAACGCTTTTTTTGTAGAGTTATCATTGTCGTTAGCTTTATTTATGATCTGTGCTCGTCCATAATGAGTGTATAATTTAAATTTGATGTGATATGTATGTGTATGATAATTTCGATAACTACAAATTAGTATTTTTTATATTTTAGGAGCGACTATGTAAGTGCAAATCTGTTTGCGAGGCTGCTAAAATTCAAGGCCAATTTGGAGATCTCTTCACAATATTTAATAGGCTGGATTATAATGTACAAACTGCGCACCTGGCCAGTTGTATGGAACTTAAGAGCCACAACGTATACGGACTCCAGAAGACATCTCAAGACGACAATGTACTGTACGATACCACATTCAGATTGGACTCAAAAAATTACCAGAGTGCCATAAAACTATATGTCAAGCATTTGGAATAACACCTCGAAGAATCCAACACATTCAGCAGAAGATAAAAACTAATATGCCGCTACGTGATCAACGTGAAAAACACAATAATAGGCCTGATCAAATCAACGAAACCGACAAATAACGTATAAGATAACATATATTTCACTCAAGTAGAACAAAAGTTCTTAACTAGCGGTCACAACTTCTTACCTTGCGACCGTAACTTCTCGCTCATATAAAAAAAAGGTGAACGTACCCTTCGACTGGGTGGCAGTGATTGCCAACTCACGTCCCAGCAAGCCCTTCAATGTGTACTACATGGAGCAAAAAGACTTTTCAGCATGTGAGAACTACTTATGGAAAGATCCTAAATGTCAGATCACTGAGTATCGTTGGTTCAAATTCGACAGCGATGATCCTACGAGAATAATGGCTAGAACTTCTCACAACGTCATACAACCTTGGCAAACATTCTCATTTGTGAATAAAAAATGGGGTGCACAAGTCATCAGATCATTAAACTACCAAATTGATGCGTTGCCTAATGCGTATACCGCATTCGGCTTATAAAAATAAAAGAAGAAAAACGCAAAAATATACTGGATATGTGCCAGTACCTGAAACCCAAATACCGAGAGTTTTATGAAAAATTAGAATGATGGAATATTATTTTTGTTTAAATTTAAGGAGCATTAAACTGTGTACTTAGCATATAAAACATATTAATAAACATTTTGAATTAATTACAGTTTATTAATATTAGATACTTTTTTCAAAACCTAAATAAGCCAAAACATCGCATAGTAATCAGGTGCAACACTGTTATATATTCAGAATATACAACATTGTTGTTGGTATATTTTTTGAAATAATTTGTTTCTGCTTACTCTGTGTAAACCTGCATAATTTGTTTACACATCTTAAACTGTATCTTTTGTTTAGGCAGGCTCAAATCATCTTATTAAGAAAAAAAAATATCTTTAATTTGATAAAGACATGCATGTACATCATAATCAGCGTATTTTTTAAAAAATAAATGAACTAAATAAATTTTATTTTATTTTTTCTGTTTATGGATCACTTTCCTTTTCTTGTTCCCATCAGAACTATTAACTTCTTGAACATCTTCGTAATCACTATATTCTTCATTACATATCATAGTTCTTATCAGAATAACACTCGACGTAATAATAAAATAGAATAAAACTTATCAGAATAACAACACCGATACTTTAACCTCACTATAATATATTGGTTGAGTTTACCGAAAGTACAAGCTGAATATAGCCACACATGTCAAAAATATTTCGGTTTGGCAGTGTTGGCATGTTTGTATAATGCATATGTTGTATGCTTCAAAATATAAAGAGATAAACTTTTAAAAAGTACATTTTGATTATACTATTTTATGGATTCCGCAATTTTTGAAGCAATAACGAGTAGATAATTGTCTCTTCCAAGATTAATTGCAAATATTTTGTAATCTGGCAACTGCTGATTTGACGATTGCCAAATCTATCCCCTAATCTATCAAAGCGTCATTGCTAAAAAAATTTCTAATAATTAACTGCAATTAATCTCCAAGGAAAGAAATAATAGAATAGAAAAAAGAATATTTACTCATTGTTGTTTTATATCAATCAAAAATTGCAGAATTGCAGAACATGCCCAACACTGCTATACCGAAATTTTTTGTTCCATGTTTGACATTTGCGGCTATATTCAGCTTGTACTTTCGGTAAACTCAACCAATATATTAATATTATATGACGCATGACAAGTGATCGAAACACAATGAGAAGCGGTAAAATAGCCCTTCTATACAAAATACCTGCAGAAATCGTTTATAAACAATCACATATCTGAAAAAACATTCTGCACACTAATATTCAAACAGTTCCACCAACCTCATTTTTAAAGATAAATAAATGAAAATTATACCATTGTAAAGGACCAATTATACCATTGAAAAACATGGCGGACCTAAATTGCGATTCTACGTAAAAAGGGCAAATAAGCCTACGCGCCCATCTCACGTCGATCAATCTCAATTATTGTTTATTAATAATTACTTTACTACTTACGCTCTTGCTTATTTGAGGTGTTTGTAATTGAAAAACCATTCTGTCCGAAAATAAAGACTTCGCAAAAAGATTAGTTTAGTTTGGGTTATCAAAACTGTATTTAAACAGAACTCTGAATAATATATAAGAATGTTAACGAATGTTGTTAATAAATAATAATTATTCTAGTATCAAAATACCCAAATAATCAAGACAATAAAAGATAAATGCTGCTAATGCTATTAATAAATAATTACCCAAAACACCTACGTATACAATAAATGCATACATACTTGGCTACATTTTAAAATTTTAATTTTCTTAAAAGATTTAATGACATGTCGCAACATGATATGATGTCTGAGAATATAGACAGCGATTCACTTAATTCTAACTGAAGAATATACTGCAGATGATAATATATCACAGGCTGAAATTAATACTGGAACTTTCAACGACAATACTTCATTATATAACGAAGAACTCCAACCTAGTACATCATCCTCTAGTAAGCGCTCCAAAAATACTAACCAAGGGCGTAAACGTAAACAAGATGATTTGGATATCGAGCGATTTATATCCTTTGAAGAAAAAAAAAATAGAGTTACTTGACTCTGCAACTAACTCAAAACTTAATGATGATGAAGATTATCATTTTTTAATTAGTTTCTACCCACCTTTAAAAAGAGTGCACGAGGACACTGACATGCGGTTCCGTTGAAAGATGTAAGAGTTTCTGTATAATTGTACTGTTCACAACTAACAACACCGTTCCGTTTGGTTTACGTACGTCAGATTCCACCCTATCTGATTTAAAACTATAAAAATGTGTACATATATTAATAAAACGATTCTCTATTATTCTTGTGTCTTTTTTATACGCAATATAACGAGACTATGTTAGATAGACAACCCCACTTTTTATATTTCCTTATGAAATCTAATTAGTTCTAAGTAAGTTTCTAACCCTGAAGTCTGATCGTGCGCGAACGGGACTCCCTGTATTTTTTTGGTAGATTTATGAAAATATTTGATGTACTATTTAAGATTCAAACGTACCCTAAAGTTATTATATGCCGTTCTTTAATGCCTATTGGTTTCCTCCAGTTTGTGTACATTTTCTCTACGTGAGGAGTTATATCTCTCTGAATATAGTAGAATGTTTTCAAAGACATCTGAAAATATTCTGGAAATTTATCAGGATGCGTAATTAGTTTAGCAAATAAATAATGAAACTATCCAAATGTCGCACTTTCTATATTAATTTTATAAACCCATTTACGGTTTCTATTTAAATACTTTTTGAAAATATTGTACTTTAACTATGAATTTTTCAGTCATTATTTTCGCCAATATGTATTTCAGTTTTCTTTCCATCGTTATGTCAGACTTAGAAAAGACTACGGTGGAGATTACCTCACAAGCAAATCATTGTATCGAAACACACACAGATAATAGTTTGCTATGTAACGCAAACCATCGCATTGCTGATCACGCCATAGCGGTCTGTGTGACCGTACACTTAGATGAGAAGGACATGATTCTCTTGAGAATGCTTGTAAATAGATTTGCTTGTATCCATCCTGAGGGATGTGCCGCAAATATGGTTCCCGATGGAGCATATTTTTTCAGTTGATCGCTCAAATTCTTGCGTGGAAAAATGAACGTGAATCCTTTCAGCTAATTGTACAGCCATTCTTCGTAAATCTGTCCGTGTAAGGCCAAAGCATGATGCTTCCATGGCTAAACAATAATTAACTAGTTCATTCTCAAGTTGTTTGCAAAAAACCGGTAGCCTACCAATTTTTGTAAGAGATACATCTATGGGATTTCCATATTTTTCTTTTGCACTATCGGCACATTATACATCTTACTGACTTTTTTAAACCCATTGTCTTTTTTTTCGGAGAGTGTCAATCGCCCTTG